TCCCGAGAGTAGCCATAGACTGGGCTAACACGACTGTGAACTGATGCTGTGGGATACCATGCAACAGTTGCTGCGCAACAAATCGCACCAAGGAGGAAATTTTGGTCGCATAGCTTGCTTGCTTTGGGACTACAGATGTCACAGTGGACTGGATCCCAAAGTCACGAGCTTGATTATAATGAGGCCTTAAATTGGTTTCGAATACTTAAGCACAAAATGCAGCATATGATAGCATCAAGTATTTTAGGCCTTTTTTGCTATTTATAATTTTTTCAGCTTTAAATAATCTCTCAAATCAAACGACCGTCGTATAACTTTGGCCTGTTTCACGAGCAGGGATATGTTCCAAAAATTCCCGCCCTGTAACTTCCGTAGTTTCCAAGTCGAATTCTTCGAGAATGCTACATGCAAACAAAACAGTTAGCACGCTGATCACATTAGCATATTTATAATAATTGGCCAACGCACGGGCTGCCCGTGCGAAGATGCATTTTTTGCATAGTTCCCCAGAAATTTTTCGCTAACGGCACTGTTTTTTCCGACAGATGCTTCTAGCTAAAAGAATTTCATACTGGCCACCAGGGCTGTCAGGAAACGTTCCTTCAAAATTCCAGTCTTCTAGCTTCTCAGGTTCCCGTGCTATCAACTTATCCAAAAAAACTTTCACGGGCCCGTACTTGGGTACCACGCATATCCGGAGGCTGAGTATGAGGTCAGTGGTAATGAGGTGGACGGGGAATACCCTCTTAAAATTAGAGCCTTCTAGTTTTTCAAATCCTCAAGTTAGTGACTTACCCGGAAAGAATTTTGGCGGGCCTGTACGTGGGTACTACGCATACCTGCGGGCTGGGTTTGAGATGACTGAGACTTACGTTGACGAGAAACATTCCCTTAAAATTTCAGCTTTCTAGCTCTTCTGGTCCGCCAGTTAGCGGCTTACCCGCAAAAAATTTTCGAGAGCCCGTACGTGGGTGCCACGGGGGTAAGACCGTCCATTTTGGGAATGGAGGCGCGTACACGCATGTAGATTAAGCTTCCAGTGTTCCGGCTCTATTGCTTTTGTAGGTCTCGAGATGAAAGATCGCTGCAGAGGCCCAGCGCACACACAGAGACACACACGCACACACACAGACAACCTCTCGTCAGTATGTGTTTCCCGCATTACATAGCTGCAAAAAACGCATAAAAAGTTAAAGATGAACAAAATATTGTTGAAAATCATACCAATCGTTTGGCACTGGGCTGACATGAATAATCGGCGTGACTTGTGCGATGAGGCACTTGTGAGTTACACTAAATTGGTCGCCGGATGTTACGATGAATACACGAATACTGTGCAGTAGCCTGTACTTTCGAAACACCCTTAAAAATGCACGATGTTTAACTTACGGATGAGACGTGCCAGGACAGCAGGGCGACAAAAAGAGAATTGTCCTACAGTCGGCCCTTACGGTTGTACCCTCATCAGTCACTGCTAAAGTTGCCAGTTTTTATGAGCATGAGCAAAACTGAAACTGGCTTCAGCTACAAGTATGACACTCACAATTAGACTAGTTTTCATCATAACAGTCTCTACAAGAACAGTCTTAACGACCACTCTTCCCGCGTTCGAATGAAGTTAAAATGAATGCCAGCTGCAGTTAATTTAGGGTAATCTGAGTTCCTCTAAAATTATCTAAATGGCGCACTGCATCAAAAATATTGATAATAATTTATCAAGCATACCAAAGAGGACAAGTGGTCGAGAAAAGCGTGAATTTTTTGCACAGCCAGCTAGACGGTACATCTTAGTAAAAATGTTGATTTCCTAGCTTCTCTGATTACCGAAACACTTTTCTATCCAAATACGTGAGAACTAAGGGAACACGAACGTTCATTTTACGCCTAAGGATTCATCCACAGTGGTGGACTAAGTTGTTCAAATTTTAGTTTCATAGCACCCGTAAGTCTGAAAATCGAAATACGCGAACACATGCACGTACAGCATACTTCTCCCATACATGCTTTTGTGCTACGTAAGTGCAAAAAATGCATAAAAACCAAATTACCCTGAAATCACAGAAAATTGACTGAAAAGGGCTCACATTTTCCGAAGCATATCCGCTATCCTTATGTAACTGCGCAAGCTGAGCCGATGGACATTGATGATTATGGGCCTGGAGGCGTCCGAAATGCGCGATAGTTGTACAGCCAACCAGTAAAATGACTTCTCGGCCTTCCACTTGCTCGCCTCCGTTGAGAACCTCACCGAACTGTCGGGCTGGTTGTTCAGTTGCAAAACAACGGCGCAATTTAAGCCTGCAATGCAGTTGGCTTTCGGTTTATTAAAATACCTTTACCAGCCCTTTGTTTTCACAGCGCTATTTCCAGTGCTTGCACTGACGCTTAGGGAAGAGAAGTTCGGCAGATGAAGCGAAGAAAACTGATTTTTATATTTTTCAGTTATTAAGGTTTCAGTCACATTTGCTGATTTGTTCTGTTAGAAAACTGAAGCAGGCAGGATTCCGGTCCTCTATCAATTCCGGTACGGAGGCGCCCTGAGCCGAATTGGAAGGATAATTGCCACTCACACACTTACCGGATTTGCTGCATATCACTGTTCGGTAGGCGAATGTGCCCGAGTAGTTATTGATAACTGCCCCACGGTAATACGTTTCCTCCATTTTATAATGCAACCCCAGTCCCAGCTCAGCCGTGTAATTCAAGTACCTGAAAAGTAGCCACTGTGGTGACAACAAGATCCTCCAGAATACTGCATCCCCGAGGGCCTCAGGCGATAGTACTGAATATGTGTCTGCTAACTTTCAGGCGCGAACACTGGCAATTCAATGCGAATCACGGGTTACACACAGAATCAACAGCTTATCACGTCCGTGTTAGTTGCACAGCTATTTTTGATAAGTGGAGCAAATTATCATACCAATGCATCACATCACCTACGACGGCTGTTTACTAGCATCCCGCAACTGGGCCTATTTCTCTCTTGATTTCTAGTTGAAAACCGTTTTTATCAATTAACAGCTCATTGGCAATCAATTACCAGGAACGCCAAAATCTTCCAGGCAATCGCTGTGCAAATTTTGTGTTTGACATCACTAGTATGCGCTCACACGCGAGGCGCAGCTAAGCTAGGTTCTTGGATCCTGAGCTGCATCATGCACTCAGTTGGTACCTATCGCCTGTTCACTGCATGTACGCCTCTTCTCCTGCAGGCCGCAAAATGATTGCTTAATTTAG